GGGGGGGATTTAGGACCATAAGATGAAAAGAGACTCTTGGGTTACTATTTGGGATTTACTTCTGCCTAATTTGGCTTCCGTTTATTCGACGAGAGTCCCATTGTTTAGACGAATCTGAAAACTAGTAAACTGCTGAGTTTTGTTCGAGAGTAAGGCATTTATTGTCTAGCAGGGTTGTTTAGTTTTGTGAAATAGTAAGGACGTGGATCATGAAAAGATGGAACGAGTTTGAAGACAGACCTCCACTGTACTTCAGTAGGTATTTAAGCTGTTACATGGGCTGTTGAAATCGGGAAGACATTTGTGATTGTATCGGTAGGTTTTCCTGTTCCTAAGAAGCCACTGGGTTCTGATTTACGCTATGAACAGGGACTTTCCCTAGTTCACTGTTTTTTGAAAAAGTTACACAGGATCTGAGATAATCACAGGAATTATAAGATATATATCGGGCAATTTTATATTGAATGTTGTGCTCCTTTCTGGAGCTCGCTGTGCAATTAATGTCTGAAAGGAAATATTAGTACGTGTTAGGAAGTTGAAAATAGCTAAATCGATATTGATAAAAAGAACGGGCTTTAAAAGTCTTTGAAAAAGATGAAATAATTGTCTGGTTACTTGTCGTTCCCTCCATTCGCTTTCTTTTATCTTGTAAATATTTGTTTTCCCCACGAAGTAATGCTAGATTCAATCATAATACGAAATGCCCAGGATCGTTACCATGTGAAAAGTAAAGGAGAAAAGTAGCATTATTTTCAATTTTAATTTGTTGCCGTTGTCTATTTTAATCTATGGTTTGGCGTGCTCCATTTTGTCTGTCAATACTATGTTGTTGTTTCATTTAATATTAAACCGTTGTAGTCACATATTAATGACATCTAAAGCAGTCCCCCTCCACCCAAAGCAGTAGTCAAAATGGACAAGTAAGAAAGACAGTTGCCGTCAATATTTTTTATTGCAGCAAATTTCATGTGGTCTTCATATAATATATAAGGTCGAGGGTACTGACGTTCACACAGGTCCCCAGCCTTACAAATATCTATTCTGTATTGTCTGGCAACAGACGAGTCGTGGCTCGCTTCAGAATTGTCCATTGTTTTCATTATGAACCGAATTACCATCCTTGGACAGGGTTGATAGGTTTGCACTGGGTTTTGTATTTGTTTATTATTTGTTTTTCTTCTTTCTTGTCTGCGCACAACTTACTCGAAGTGTCATTTTAACCCGCTCTCATCGCACATAAATTACAAGGAGCTGTCAGCAGTGCACACCGAGCACACGGCCGGCTGTCTGTCTAGTCGCCTCAGAGGGAAAAGGTTCCATTTGCACTGCCTTATTGTTGTTGCAGATGAAACCTTTTGACTCCCGGCGAGTCGTAAAAATATTTATTATGTATTAAAGAGACGAAGTTTGGCGACCTCTTTGAGTTGAGAGGATTGCACTCGCCAGCAGTCTCGAGTAGAGCTGGATGTGCACTCATTTCCTAATTAACTGGATTTTTGGAGCCCGCATTTTTAATCAACCGGTTTAAGCAGATTCGCGATCAAAGTCGGAGAAGTGGCTCGTGTTACGAAGAACGAGTTACCTAAAGTTGAGGCCCGTGGAACCCTTTTACGCGACCCGACTTTCTTTGCCCGAGGACCGAGTGCGTTGCCCTGTTGTATGTCAACGCGCAGTGAGAGTTAAAAACCATTCTGTATAGCCTAATGTTCAGTGCTATCTTACCGCCCATTCTGTGGAACAACTGGGAGAACCCTTCTGTAAAACGAGTGTGTATTATTATACGATTGCCAGTAACTTCGGCTAACTTTGGCTTGGTAAAACGGGTGTGTATCATTGGGTCACGGGGAATTTTGGCTTTTGGTAAAACGGGGTTGTTCTATAGGATCGCCGGGAATTTCGGCTTTTGGTAGGACGGGTTTGTAATCTAAATAGCAAGAGAGAGAGAGAGAGAGAGAGAGAGAGAGAGAGAGAGAGAGAGAGAGAGAGAGAGAGAGAGAGAGAGAGAGAGAGAGAGAGTGTGTGAGATTTGATTTACAGAGATATATTCAAACATTCCTGGGGAATCTTTATACATATAGTAGATTGGAAAAAGCTACGAGAAATAATTTAAAACATACAATCCTTTTGAAAGAAGAAACCTATAAAGAAGCATCGATTTTTAAAAAAAGACGGCTTTGAGAAGAACAAACGATCTTACGATAGATAAAGCAGGAACAAGAGCTGAAAAGAACCAATAAAATCAATGAAACAAAAACAAACCGGTTTCGATAAAAAAAAGAAGAAGAAGAATAGAATGCCATTATTAATAATACATAACACTTATGCACAATGAAGTATATTTGTAAAGTCCGAGAAAGAAAGATCTAGAGGAAGAAAGAGAAAGAAAGAAAGAAAGAGAGAGAGAGAAAGAAAGAGAGAAAGAGAGAGAGAGAGAGAGAGAGAGAGAGAGAGAGAGAGAGAT